GGCAGGAGCCCCGCCCCCTCCCGCCGGAAGCCCCCCGCCCGTGCCTGGCGTTCACTAGTCTAGATCCATTATGTATTTAAATTATCTAGAAGACAAAATCTTACTGATTTGTGAAATGTAAAACAACAACAGGTACTTTTAAAAACTACAATAAACACACAGGGATGGTGAGCTCTGTCGTAAGACTTATACAACTGATTTTGGGAATCATGTTTCAGCTGCACAGAAAAAAATTCAATGGCAGAAACACAGAGACCGTCGTCTTTGAATGTTATTCAAAATAAGAGTTAATTGGCCTTCGTAGTAAGAATTCCGAATGTAGATACTGTTACGAGAACGAGAGCTTGCAGCGGAGACAACTGAAAAGGACTGGGTGAAACTGGCCTTGTCATTTCTGTGGACAGGGGTCATTTAAGTTAAAGTCCTAACCAGTGCAATGCAGTGTGGGTGAGCTAGGGAGCAGAGCCACCGCTTTCCCCAAAAACGTCAGCCGGTCAAAACGGGAGGGAAAACCTCCAACCTGGACGGCGGCGTTCCGCGCGCACCCACGTTCGCCGTTTCGCTCGTCCATAAGCACACCCGGGATCTACCTCCGTGACCTAAGGCGAGCCGCGCCCGACACCGTGGGCGCAGCGGCGGGCCTAGTCCTCACCCTCAGTGGCAGACCTCGCAGATGCTGGCCGCCCTGAGATTCTGGGGAGCACGGGAAGGAACAGCACCTCTGCCTGGCCAGCAGCCCCGCCCTGGCCCCGCCCCCCGCAGCGGTCTGGACAGGACAGAGAGGCGGCCTGCACGCGGCCTCGCACAGCGTACTCTGCTTCTCGGTGCGCTGGTCCCCTGCCAGCACCGGGTAGCGGCCCTCCTTCATGGCTTTCTGGATGAACTTGTAGTAGGGGTTGAGGTAGTGGTCGAAGCGCAGGAAGTCGAACTGGGAGTTCCGGGCCTGCTTGGCTTTCAGCATTATCTCGAACTGCGCGCCCTGCTTGCACACGAAGTTGGCTGTGCGCTCAATGATAGCGTGCATTTTGGCTGTCGGTGGCTAGGAGAAAACACACATTCGTGTTATCAATTCTTTCACTTTGCCACTGACCACATGACCTAAAACACAGAAACAACCCTGGGTTTTCTGTCGAGCAGAATAGAGACATTTCAATCGGAATGGACCAGTCTGAAGATTGGCACCGCCACGGTGACAAGCCACTCCGTCTATTTCTGAATTTCATGTTTTGTGGGGCGGAAACTCACCTACCAAGGCAGGACACTCCGGCTTTGTGCAGGACTGATAGGAGGCGATCTTTTTTTGCACCAAATCAACACATTCCCACATAACGGGGGTCCTCGCCCTGGGGTCTGTGACGGGGCTCGGGGGTGGTGAGTCCTCAGACGCTGTATGCCAATACCGCCCCGCTACGTGCACATTCCCCCGAGCTCCTCAAAGGGCTAAGGGTCCCTCCCGCTTCCCTTCCTTAGCTGGGATGAGGTATCACGGCTCGCAAAGCAGCCCTTCTGAAGATAGGAAGGCAGCCACACACTCACGCCAGGCCCTCCACATGTGCTTCCTTCCCGTCCCCTCAAGACAGCCACGCGGCTCCAGGCAGCCACCATCCCCACCCGCAGCACACAGTCCCACACGCGCCCATGTGGGTGTGGTCTGGCCGGAACCGGCGGGGTGTGCCCACATTAAGGGGCAACTCCTTGCTGCCTTCGGTGAGTTCACTGCTAGGAACCAAACTCTCTTCCCTGCAGGCTCAGCTGCTCTCAGCACCTCCTGCCGCAGGGGCTCGCCAGACCCAGAGCTGGAAGCCACATGTCTAAGTACCTCCAACATCAGTGAGGAGGTTAACGCCAGGAAGCGACATGCGCAGAAAGTGGGACCTTGTTCTCATTAGCAATGGGCAGTTCGGAATCAAGATGTTTACTGCAATTTCAGAGCGGCACCCTTCATAACATGTAAACGCCTTAATTCTCAAATTTAATTCCTGAACTAACAATGTCCTTCGCACTTAAGCAGGATAAACGTCTATAACTGAAGTTATCTGCTGATCCCAAAATAAACTAGACTCTGTGTTAAAGACCCACTCACCGTGCACAGAAGCACAGTTCCTGGCACAGATTTTCACTGGCTTTGGCCAAAGAGGAAGATTAACTTTTGAAATGGTGCATCCTATGTACATGGCAATTATTAACGATCACTTCAGAATATGATCCTTGCGTAAATGAAAATTTGATCCCCCACCTCCCAGTAGAGATGCACTCTGGTGACCAAACCAACTTTTTGGTCTGAAGTTTCTTAAAAGCGGGCCCACTTATGACGCACTAGTACGGCCAAAGTGGTTAAAAAGCAACAGATGGGTGATTTTCCAAAGCAACGACGATCACAGAACACGAAGCACTCTGTGAACACCCTTCCAGATCTACTGCCCGAGCAGATGGCTACGCGTGAAAGCCCCTGGTCTGGGGCAAGGCCCTCTTTCGGCTCTCCACCTGCCACGCATGCTCTAGTTCTCTAGATAAACCCGTTCCCGGCTGAGAATGCCGCGGTTATTCCCACTGCAAATGGGCTTCTGGGTGTGGGCAGCTGGGAGCAGGCGCCACCGTGAGCATCCCAGGCTGCCGGGCTCCTGGCCACTCCTCGCCGTGCCCACGCCCCCTCGGAGAACCTGCCACTGCTAGGCTCCCACCCAAAGCCCAGTTTAGGAAGAACCGAGACCCCTCTCCCCGAGCACCTGCTTTCTTCACTGAGCGCCCTACCTGCCAGGGCCAGTGAGCGAGAGCAACCTCTACCCATGGAGGCCATGATCGTCCACCACACACAGTCCCGTGATCTCGGCATTTAGTCACCAACACAGAACTTACACGGTGACACCCTCGTCTTCTACATTCTCCCCACAAACACGGACACCGCAGTGTCTGATTTATACAAGGACCCGCGGCTCCCAGATCACGACTGCTGTGAAGAACAAGCACCGGCACCAGGGGAAGGGAGAGCAGGCTGCACGCCAGCGACCCAGCGCGCACCGGCGGCGCCACGCGGTCAAAGTGGCTCCTGCCGCGGACACTTTCTCCAGCGGCGCCGGCGGCAGCGCTGCGGCTCTAAGCGCCCGCCAGCGCGAGGCTGACTTCGCCCTCCGCGGGCGGCGGGCACTTCAGTTTAGCGATGCCTCTCTGGCCGACACAGACATCACGCATTTCAACAGAAGTGAAACCAGGCTACATCTATCATGCCTCTGTATTCACGTTTGCATAAAAGTCAAAACCACCTTTCCTATCAAAAGTTAGTAAAATTCAATATAGTTAACCTTAAATAAAAGCTTTTGGTATTAAATACAGGTAAAAGGGCAACCCGTTTTTAACGGGTTGAAAATACGATCTCACATAGGATCGTATGTCCCGGAACGAGTGGAAGTACAATACGTAGGAAACGTGCTAGTACGAGTCTTAGGGTGCCGGATCCTCAGATGACAATTTCGGCTTCAACTACAGCAAAACGATCAATGGTAGACACCGGGGGAAGCAAACATAAGCCAGCACTCCGCTCAGAAAAATCAGAAGAAATTTTTACTCACGTCTGTAGGAAAAGAGACCGAGAGGAGACGACATGCGAAGGGGCGAGCGGAGGAAGGGGCGGCACGGGCGCAGGGGCAGCGGCAGCGGGCGGTGCGGGCCCCTAGCTCCCGCCGCCACATAGGAATGAAGCGCAAGGCAAAACCACGGCGAGGGCCATCGAATCCACGCTGAGGGGGAGCGCGCGAGCGGCTCGTTCCCGGCACCGTGGCGCCTGCAGGACACTGCGAGAACCTGGAGGCCCGCGGCCAGGGGCGGCGACCCAGGCTGGAACGCGTCAGGGAAAGGCACGAATCTCTCTCCCAAACGCGGGCAGGCAACGCAACGAACATAAACACCCCTAAATATAAACATCCCAATAAACACAGGAACAGACCAGTAAACGTATAAACAGCCCATAAACACCTCACGCAGCACAGCGACTCGTGGTGACAGAACAGTTAGGACCAGGGGCTGTGGTCCTGCCTGCCCCTTCCTAGCCACTTGTGGAAGGGAGACAGTAACAGTAGCTCCTTTGCGGGTAATTAACGTGGAGATGAGCAGAAAGCCCTCAGCGAGGCCGTTACAATGTAACCCCGACGGAACTGAGCTGCAGACGCTCAGGTGCAAGGAACTCTACCCAGGTTTCCTCCGGGCGCAAGGGCAGCTGGGAGACGTCACCGGAGGGAGCGGGAGAGCTGGGTGGAGGAGTCTCTACACAGCGCAGCGCAAACACATCTAAGGAGCCCACAAAACCACCCCGGAAAAAGTCGGAATGAAGTAACTTTACAGAAGGCCACTCCCTCGAGCAAGGCTGTCTTTCCGCCTCAATGTGGCCAACAGCCTGCGCCCCCTACCTCTGTGCCTCCTACCTCTGCCTTGGCTTTCCCACACTGGTAAAACGGGGTTCAACCGCACGGCCCCGGAGGGCACGATTTCCTCGAACCCCTGACGCTCTGGGCCGGTCCCTTTGCTGTGAAGTCCTCCCTCTTTCTTTAGAGGAAGGCAGGTGGGGCGAGTTTTTTTCTCCGTTGGCTCCCAGCTAACTCTAGGGCAGCGCGTACCTACACACAGATGCGATGCTGCCCGGGCCCCCACACTAGCTACGGTAAACACCAATGGTGAGGGCAGGACTGTGAGGCAGACACACACATACCAGCTCCACATCGGGCGGCACGCTCAACCCCAAAGGGGCAACGAAAGGCTCCTCATTCTCCTCCGCGTTCTCAGCTTCATGTTTTTCTGTATAAAGAGAAAACACAGCACTTTGAGAAGAGCCATCAGGCAAGAAGGCGCCCACCAACAGCAAGCAACGTGGCCTTGGCTGGTTCTTGATCTTTTTTCTATCGTTTCTTCCAGAAACACTTCGCAGTTTTCTGTTCCATGCCACCACCTGCAAGCAAAACCACTTTAGCACACCCGAAAGTGGTGGGGCTGGGGCAGCAGGAGAGCTGAGACCCTGGCACGTGCCCTGACTCAGTTTCCCCCTCTCCCAGAGCTGGGGGAGGTTTTGGCAGACGATGTACATGAGCGTCTCCACCGCAATGCTCCACACTTAGCAGGCACTCCATACGCACTCTGCGATCTGCGTGTTTACCTGGAGCTGACACTTCCCGCCACGTGGCTTCTGTGAGCTCCCCAGGGTGTCAGGAACAGAACACGGCACTCAGCGCCGAGAACTGATTTGTAAAGTTTTACCTCGATGTCACTGCCAAGACTTCTCTAGACAAGCCAACTATCTCTTTCGTAAGTAGTCAGATGTATCTTTTCCACTCCCACTTATCCACTAATGGCTCACTTAATAAACATTTACCTACTGTGTGTTAGACAAGGCGGTACACATTATAATTTCCTGAGTTACAAGGTATCTATATACATCTCAACTGCTCAGATGATCATCAGTTTGTATACAAAACTGATAAAAAGTAACATTCTTAAGAATTTAAAATCCACTTAGGTTTTTCTTTTAAAACAAATGTTACATAAGCAAACACTAAAGCCCTCAGGGCAGTTTCCCTCAGATGGGCAGTGTCAGAGGTGTCCTGTTAGACGTGGTTCTGGGACGCCGAGCGGGTTCCCAAACAGGCTTCTGACATGACCTGCTAGGGTGCAGGCTGACATGAAGCCCAGTGCGGAAGAGCAAACTGGCTCCGTGTCCACTTAGGCACCCTTGTTCTCTCCCGAGAGCCTGACAGTTACTGCCTGAAACCCCGCCATCAGCAGCCAGTGTCCAGCTCCAGTCGCCAAGGACACAGTGGGGCTGGAAGGCAGCAGCATGGCCGGTCTGCACCTGCCGAGCAGCAAGTTAAAATCTCAAATCTCTCAGGGAACGAGGCTAAACGTGGATGTGTGTAGAAGTCCGACTCTCGCTGTCCCTCTACCTCCCTACGGTGACGACGTGAGGGGCTGTCTCTCTGACACTGACCTTCAGTGCCAAGCTATTGACAGGAAAAGGCTCTGGGGCTGAAAGCACTGTCCAGGTCGGGGGCCACCGCCCCGTTGTTCCCACACGTTCCCGTGTCCGCAGAATGGCTTTAGTGACACAAAATGAAAACCAGCATGCGACACTGACTCGGACGCCAATAAATCTCAATAATCTCTTGTTTAAAAAAATGGATATGTAACAGTGACAAAAAGCTACTAAAATCTAAATGATAGGAACCAGGCTGAAAACGGAGCTGTGACATGGGAGAAGAGTTAAATTCCAGGAAAAAAGGTGCCATCGAAATGCTTCTGGTCGATGTCACAAGGCTTGAAAATATTAAAAGATGCCAGGACAAAATAGGCATTTTGAAAATCAAAGAATATGTAGTCACGTTGATGGCTCAGGAAAACAAAAACTATATTTTTTATTTATATAATGCAACACTAAAGCAAAATTTGGTTGTCAGAAGTATAAGTACACATGCAGCACACACGCAGGTGAGTGTGTCTGGGTGTTGTGCATACACGTGTGGTGTCTTACTTATATTATTAGTGTAAGTTAAACATAATAAGTCAAGCTAAGTTTTACGTGGGACCGACCGCCATTAAAAACTTAATCAGCAGAGCCAGAAAAAGTTTTTTCTCTTATTTCACTCACTTTTTCCCATTTACTTATTCATTTTTATCCATCCATCAAAATTTTTAAAAATCACATAAAACAAAATTCTGAGAATGTGACTATACAAGAAAACACATTATAAAATAAGAAAGAGAACTTTACGATAAAGAGAAAGCATACCAAAACTTTGAAGAGAAATTAAGTCACCTTTAAGTTCTTAAAAGTCAATGGTCGTAACCACGTTTAAGAGCAGTCGGCCCAATAACCACACCGAGACGACAGGCCAATACCTAGAGCCAGGGCTGGGGACCTCTCCTGTGAGATGCCGGGGAGCGGGTCCCTCTGCCTCGGGGCCACCTGGGCTCCGTCTCGACCGTTCAGCTCTGCCGCAGAAGTACAAAGGCTGCACAGACAGCTTGTGAGCAGGTGAGCATGGCTGTGTTCCAACAAAGCGTCACAGAATCATGCCCACTGAGCCTTTGGCCAGGGTTTGCTGACCCATAAGTGGAATGGTAAGAAATTAATAGTACGGATTTTTCGGAAGATAGTCACTTGATTCTGCAAAAGACGCTTGGCCTTCATAAAAGCCAGTCCTTCACTTGTGAAACGGTGGTGGGACGCACTCCTCCGTCCCGACCCCAAACACTACCTGCTCACAGCACATGGCACGTCGATGGTGCAGAGATGAGACAAAACCCAACTACTCGGAGCCCTAAAGTCACCGATCTGGACAGAGGGGTGTGTTGCTTCTCAAGCTGCAAGAGCGTTTTAGTGCATCGTGACTTCTGGGGTACAGTTAGAGCCAAAAGTCAACGCAAAAGGTGTGAAAAACATTAGCAAGGCCCTAACAGGTAACGTTACACGTGAAATCTCTTTAGAAGCTCACGGAACAGGGCTGTGCACCAGTGGTTCTTCTGCCACAAGGCCACGAGGACAAAGGGCAGCGAGGCACATGTCTGCATCCCTACGGCCTGCTGCTCCACCGTGATCACGCCCCTTGCTGAAGGGGCAGGAAACCTCAGGACAGCTGCACCATGCAGGGCGGACAGTATTTTGTTTTACTGTTAAACTGCCATCATACTTGTTAGTTTGTTACACAAGGAAAAATCAACTAAGTCTGAAATGGCGGATTCAGTGAACTCTAAAATTAAAGCCCCGTGTGACGTGACTCCAGTTTATCATTCCAAACATGTAAGTTTCTGCAGTTAAAGCTCTCCTCTTCCAACAGGATGTCCTGAACACAGTGATGCGCCCTTACTGCTTCAGGTCTGTGCTGTCACTACTGGTGACGAGTGACTGATCATCGTGCAGGGCAGTGATGCCGGGGGCTCACAGGGCTCACCGGAGTGACTAAAGATACCTGTTCCTGTACTACATGAGTCCCGATTCCTCAACAGCACTGGATTTTTTTTAATATGCAAAGTTCCCAGAGTTGATTCAGAAAAGCATAAACTTAAAATCTTTAATCTTACGTAACTACTAAACACCATGGTAGCCATGCGTCTAGGGCCTATCGAGCCTAGTCAGGGTGTCTCGCGCTGTTCTGTCTGGTAATAATTGGACCCACAGGTGTCTTTCCACTGGATATTTGTCATGATTTCAGGTGTGGAAGGGACATAGAGCATGAAGGCAGTTAATGCCCCAAGAACAAATCACTGTGGATGTCAACGCACGTACCGTCAACCTACAAAGACTCCTGAGTGCGCTTCTAGAATCCAGGCGATCACCCGAATCAAAGAGAAATGTAAACGCTAGACTCAGTGCAGATAACGGAAGCTGAATTCGCCTTCCTCCTCTATTCACAAGTCGTCTTCCAGCCTCTGGCTTTGTCTGGCCCCAAGAAGGAACCGAGCGACGCTCTCCCGGTGTCACAGTGACGTCCGTGACTGCCCGGGGCTGCAGGCTTTGCCGCCGTGCCCGCGGCGCCCTGCCTGGGCGCTGCCCGCTCACCTCTCTGTCTCGAAGGCTCCTCCTCCTCCGTCGGCTCGGACGGGTCGTAATAGTCACTGCCGTACGTGAAGCCCACCGCGCTGTAGTTTCCATCCTCCGCCAGCGCTTCGCTCAGCCGCTTGTATTCTTCCTCTTGAATAAAAACGAGAATTTTATTAACAAAAACGGAAACTTACTGAGAAAAAGTTCATATATTTCTAAAGTCGTAGCTATCAGTAGAGCGAACAACACACTTTTTTTAACCTCTTTTTGAGGCGAGAATGTTTTTAAAAATTCGCACTTCACATCTACCAGTATGCACTGCTGCCGGCATGTGTTTACCACAGACAGCAGAATACATGTCTATTGTGGAAACTTTCTTCAAAAAAATTTGGGAATTAAGAACCGCATTAAAGATCGTTAAAGCAAAGACAAGAACATCGATTTTAGTTTATACGATACTGTTAAAGAAGAACAGTTAAAGAGTTTGGTTTTTGTTTTTTCAAATCCCAGTCTGCCCTCAAAAGCTGGGAAAATTCTCTGTGGCTCTATATATAAACTATCCTGAGGTCCTCTCAGAACGCAAAGACTCCTGTTTTTCCAATCCACTGGGTACTGTCAAGATAATATCAGAAAGAGTGAGTATAAAAAAATGAATGGGAGTAAATTTTTAAATACTTAAAAAATTTTAAAACGTTTGTTGCTTAAGTAAGTTTTTCTTGAGCAGTACCTTGCCTCGCCTCCTCCTCAAGCAAGTCCGTATGCAAGGCTAAATACCTCTCTTCATCACACAGGGCCTCTACTCGCGCCTCCTCCTCAGAGAGCTGGTAGTCTCTGTTCCACGTGGAGTGCTCGGCGTCGTACTCAGAAAGGTCATGCAGGTGACCGCGCCCATCGTATCTGGAATAGGAACGCGCTGGTCAGCGGGAGGGAGCCACCGCCCGGGCGGGTGTGCGTGTGATGTTTTATACTTACCGATTAAAGTAAAGAAATAAAAATATTACAACAAACATAAAAGCTTCGGATTTATATTTAATTCGGCCAGTTACATCTCACCTACTTTTACACTCAAGTTATCTTAACAAAGTTTAAATTCTGTTCTACAATATGTTAAAACTCGTAATTAACGGTAAACAATCCTTTAATAGCATAAATGGTGGTATCCCCTTCACTGGCAGTTCTTACCGTTTATGGTTTGGTCAACTATTCAATGCCATTCGCAAAAAAAAAAGTTTTTCTGTAAAGTCAAATATCATAGCTCACATTCACACAAACCGAATACATAAATACCTATCCGTAAGAACCAAACGGTCGCAATTTCCTCGCTTCTCTCTGCTAGTCCCGAACTCTCAGGAGAGATCTTCACCAAGAAAGCTGCGTCCAATGGAGGTAAAGTCTTGGCTAGGCTCGCCCCCTAGCCACTTGGCTGAGGAAATAAGTGCTGGGTTACGTGATAGAGAGACACACATACATAGGAACAGTGACATATACGTGCAGTTTAAGGAGGTTCACTGGAAACAGAGCCAAACCCATAGAAGATGCAGGATAAACGCTCCCTTCGAAACTGCGTACCCCCAGGGAATACCACGCATGACGACATGCCCGGGTGTACTGCATGGACCCGCGGGTACTTGAGCCACATTAAGAAGAGCGCTTTCTGCTACGCTTGTCACAGAAACGATTCGATGACGATGCTGTCGATAATGAGTTAGTGAATTTTACTTAAAACACTCATATCGTGTAGCAAAAACAAATGTAGAGACAAACAAGTCTGCCTGATTTCTTAACGCTGACTTTTGTAATGAGGGACAAAAACAAAAACAAAAAAAGACATTTACAAGAAAAAAGGCCCACAATTCCAGGGTAGCGAAGTCATTGCATTTTATTAAATTTCAAAATTCTTTTAATTTTGCCGTAAACCTCCTTAACTTACAGATGCAGATCGTCATTTAAAATATCACACACGCACATGCGTAGCGTTTGCTCCCCACAAGTTTTGGAAGACCCAAGTCAAATCATGTACAGACTGATACGGAAAACCGTGTGAGAACTCAGGCTTCAGCGCTTACTAAACTTTAATGATAAACATCACAAGTGACACTTTGGAAAGGCAAGCTGCCTGACAACTCCGGCGACGTCAGCCAGTCAACAGAGACCGCGGTACAAAGGCCCACGTGAGAGCACACAGGTCCAGACCTGAGCTGGCAACCCTCCCTCGACGTGTCCTTGTCTAGATCTAACTCCGACGGAAACGTCGGGATGAAAATGGCCTACTGGGTGGTTAGCGTGTCCATCTGGCCAGCTCAGAGGTCACCCCTACAGTCCTGCTCCAGGGCTTTGTAGAATCCAGTTTTAATTGTCTCAAACGACGGGCTTCGGTCACTACTCCAGTTTAATGGTTGGTCACAGTTAGCTTTTCAGTCCGACCCCAGGGGTGGAGTTGCCAAACCCGCAAAAAAATCAACCGACCGAAAAAAAAAACCCAAGGAAGGAGAAGTGGGGCGCTGAAAACATGAGAAGGGAGGGGAGCAAACAACCTACATCATGTACCGTCATCCTTTTCAAATCAAACATCTTTAGAAATCGCTGGACCCTCTGCCCAAAGCGGCTGACCGCCCTGCGGCTGATTTCCCAAAGCGGGTCTGATTTGAAAAGAAGCGCATCGGCACCCCAGGTCCACCCTGGCGACAGCGAAACCCGCCCTAAGGACACTGCCTCTCGGAGCTAAGCCAGGGTCTGCACGAGGCCGACTGGCCTCCCAGCGCGCGCATCTGTCAAACTCGTGGATTTCACGGGGCGGGGGGACGGGGGAGTCACATGTCATGCCGCACAGAGGGGCCCTCCAAAGAGGGAGGCGCTGGGGGCACGAAAGGTTCAAGGCTAACTCGGGGGGACCCAGCGGCTTCTAGCCGCGGCCTCGGGAGCGCGGCGTTCCGGGCCCCCCGCCCCCCACCCGCCACCCCGAGCTGTGCGCGCGGCGCCTCCACCGGAACCCGGCGACAGGGTGAGGGATCGCGAGGGGCTGCGGGGCGGAGACGATCCCTCCGGCGACACACGCGGGAGCGACTCCGGCCAGTGCTTTAGGGCGGGTTTCGCCGTCCCCCTCCCCCCCAAACCAGGGCAGTGTGGGGACAGGGGAGGGGGTCCCCCGGATCCCCGCTGGCTCCAGAAAGCCCCTTTCCAGTCCTGGCCATCAGGTCAACGTCAGACGGAATCGGGCCGGCGCGGGGAGGGGAGGAACCGACCTGTCGATGAGGATCTTGTGGTCCCCCATCCAGGGGATGAGGTGCTGTCCCTGCTCCTGCGCCAGGGCCCGCTCGTCGTCCCGGAACAGCTTGCAGGCATAGCCGAAGACCAGCAGCTCCACTCGCGTCCCCCCGCCGCCGGCGGCGCCCGGCCCGGCCTCCTCCTTCGCGCCACTTTTCCTCTCGGCTTTGGCGCGGCCTCCGCTCGCGCCGTACATGACAGCGTCCCCGGCGTCCAGGCTGGCCCTGTCGTGCGCCGCGCCGATGTCCCCGAAGCTTCCGCCTGGCCTACGCCCTCAGTCACAAGCGCCGCATCCCGGCCCCAACCTCGACACCGCCGCCATAGCGGGCAACAAAATGGAGGGAGCGCGACTTCCGGCGGCGGGCGGCCCCACTTCCGGCGAGCGGGTCCGGCAGATTCGCGACCCCTCGGAGCCGCTCGTGCCGCCAGAAAAATCTCTGGGCCCCGGCCCTTCGCATTCGGAGGCGCCGCCGCGGTAGGAGCTTTCGT